CTAAGAAAAATGATTTGTTAATTTGGAAATTGTTATTGCATTTAAAGATTCAATATAAGTATTAGAAGAAATATAAAACAGAAATAACATCATATGTACTTAAAAAATGAATTTAATTTGGAATTACTAATTATTATTATCTAAATATTTTAGTTACAATTTTATCCAACATAAAATAAGTTAATAATTTTAATCAAAAAATAAATATACATATTAATAATTAGAATGTTAAGGAAATAAATTGCACTTATTCATTATTCAAATTATTAAATGAGAGTAGATGATATTGAAACATTAGAATAAATTAATGAGTTCTCATAAATTAGAAGAAATATGATTAGATTGCAATATCTTTGGAGAGAACTTTTATGCATTGTAAAAGATTCTTTTGCCATACATAAAATTTTATGACGGAAACATACAAACCAGAACTTAAAACACCAGCGCTTTTTAATTTTAGATGGATTGCTGAAAAAAAATTTAAGAAGCAAGAGATAGCGAGTCTTGGTTAGGCATTGAATAAGAATATTTTGCGTTAAAGAGAACAGTAACAATCCATTAATGGTCTTTGGGATGGCCAGTTGAAGGTTTTCCTTATCCATAATATTTTTCAATAGGAGAACGTAACAATTTTAGAAGAGCCTTATCTGAAGCTCATTAACAAGCTTGTCTGCTTGCTGGTTTAAAGTTTTTTAGAATTAATTCTGAAGTTGCTCCATCATAATGAGAATTTCAAATTGGAATTGCTCATAGAATAGAGGCAGGAGATCATTTATGGTTGGCAAGATATATATTGGAAAGATTGGGTGAAGAGTTTGGAATTGATATCAATTATGATCCAAAACCCATTTAAGGAGATTGGAATGGTACAGGAGCTCATTGCAATTTCTCAACAACAAAGACAAGAGAATAAGGTGGTTATGAATACATTAAAGAAATCATGTTACCTCTTTTGGAAAAGAATCACTAAAAAATGATGCTGTTGTATGGTTTAAACAATGAAGCAAGATTGACAGGGAAACATGAGACTGGAGAATATAGTTAATTCTCTTGGGGAGATGGATCAAGGGGATGTTCTATTAGAGTACCCATAATTACAAAAGAATTAGGCAAAGGGTATTATATAATTGTGTAATTTTAGATATTTGGAAGATAGAAGACCTGCAGCCAATATGGATCCATATCTTGTATGTAGTGCTTTGGTTGATACAACATGTATGAATGGGAAGAATCTTATGTCTCTTATTGAATAATTTGCTGAATCATTAAAATAATTATGAAAAATCTATTTATTTCATATAATTATGAAAAGATTTTAGTTTTTTAACAAGAATATTAGATAACAAAGACCTGAATTGAATTTATGCATATTCTATTATATCTTTGCTGAGTACTTCCATTCTATATCTAGATATATTTTTTACTTGAAGAGAAAATACAGAAACGATTACAATGAGATGAACTCTAAAATGGAACAATTAAGAGTTTCGGTTGGAATCTGACTTTACGAAGTAGTAAGTCTTAGAGAAAGAAATAAAAGGGAAACAAAATTAGTTGAATAATTGAGGTTCATCTAAGGGATTGTATAATGAATAAAAAAGTTTTCGTAGTTTTGGAAACACCTCTTTGGTAGACAAGCAGAATCGATTGAAAAATTGAAGGATAGACCTAATGATTATCTTATTAGAGATGAGAACCCATTGCTTCTCAAATATATATCTGAAGAAGGAGATATATCCTGCATAATTTATGTGTGGGATTCTGAAAGTATTCTTTATTTACTATAATTAAGGGTGTCTTGAATGCATCTGGATTCACATGTCAAGTCTCTTATTAATTTAAGACTGATGAACGAGGTGTCAGCTATTATCCTCATACTGTATTTATCTTAAGTTTCGAAGATGCCAGAGATTTATGAATTTTATATATTAAATGATGTAAATTAAATTCATCATCGAAGCAAAATTACTTCACAATTATTGTTTATACCTTATTGAGCCAAAGATAAATATGGGCTCAAAAATTTCATGTTGAATTATAATGTAAAATTAAAATTTATACCTGTCTTTTCCTTAACTTTTCTCTCTAAATCTTGAACTGTTGCTGTGGGAGCTATTTCAATTTGGATCATATTCATTCCATCTCTAACTTTGACAATAATCAAATTTAAACTTTAAGTGATCTTCAATTTGGTAACTGCTTATTTTTATCTTAAAATCAAATAACTGTTACTCAGAATATTTTGTTACTTGAAACTCTTATCAGGAAGTAATTGTATTTGATTGAACACAAGTTCAGTGGGATAATTGATATTGTAAACCATCTTCAACTCATCAATCAATTCAAAAACTTTTTAGTCTTAATCTACCTCCACTTAAATATCATTTCCTAGCACCGTAATATTCAGAACTAATTAATCTAATTGTTTAACAACTACATCCAAAATTTAATTATCATTCAATTTACATTATTCTATAATCTGTTAAGGATTCAAATCCTGTCCTTAAAGTTGAATTGTTAAATCTTATTCTATATTGAATACATCTTTGCAATGTGCTATTATATCCTAGATTTTCATTTTGTTAGTCGATTCCAATTTTTCAATCGAATTCATGTATCGAAGTTAAATTTTAATTTTTTAATTATTTTAGGGTTGAGAAAAGATTTATTATTAATTAGGAATTCCCCCCATTTAGGGTTAAGTAAAGATTTATTATTAATTAGGCATTCCACCAATTTAGGGTTAATTAAAGGTTTATTATTAATAAGGCATTCCACCCATTTAGGGTAAATTAAAGATTTATTATTAATTAGGCATTCCACCAATTTAGGGTTAATTAAAGTTTTATTATTAATTAGGCATTCCACCAATTTAGGGTTAATTAAAGATTTATTATTAATTAGGCATTCCACCAATTTAGGGTTAATTAAAGGTTTATTATTAATAAGGCATTCCACCCATTTACTATTGTTATGGTTTTTAAAATTGTGTAGATAGTCTTCCAAATTATTATTGTTGAAATTGAGGTTTTCCATAGGGTAAAAATTATGTTGGTTATCCCTCAAAACTATTTAACTAATTAAGACTATTATTCAATCCTTATTAAAATTGTTATTATAAATTTTTCTAACCTCCCGACAATGTATTCTATTATAGTGGAGGTACTGAAGCAAAATTCATAGGCTAATTAAACTGAAACTGATTTTGTTATGGAATAAATTATTAATTCGGAGGAGGAGGTAATTAGTATGAAGTACCATAAAAATTTTATTATTATGAAGGAGGTATTTTCTAAAATTAATTTTATTAAGTTTAATTCAATTGATTTATTTAAGGTTATACTTAAGGTTCAATAATACTTCCATTTTTTATATTTTACGCCTTCAAAGTCTTATCCAAGATCAAAGGAGTTTTTCCTTCAATAATTGCATTAAATGCAGTTGGTATTTTAGTATGTTGCTAAATAGCATCCATCAATTCACTTCCTAATGAATCAGAAGAAACTTCAAACTGGTATTTACAATTCTAATAATTCAAAATCAAAGTGTAATTCTCTTCAAATTATTATTGTTATGGTTTCTGGTTGAAAACTGGATATAAAGTGTTTCCTTTTTCAACTTTCTAAGCAGCCAAAGTTTACTCCTCATTTAGTGTATATTTGTTTTCCAAACTTAATTAAAATTTTTCATTTAAATTGAAATTCTATTAAATACATAAAATCAAATCCTTAACTAATGTATCATTCATCAAACTTAAGCTATGATTCTACCCTTAGAAACTAAACATAATAATAATTTCTTATGCTTTAAAAGCTTAATTTGTTTATAAACTAGGTTATTACTATGCATTATAATTAACATTTTGAATTGGTTTTAAAAATAAAATAGAATCTTGTTTGAAATTTTAATCCTCTAAAGTTAAGTTTAGTTGAAGAACTTATTAATTTTCAAGGTGCAAATTACATTATTCTTAGATTTAAAGGGCTTATCTAAACTCCTGTATTATTTCATATACTAAAGTATTTGAATGTACTTCTATGGGATATTTTTATCCTTCATAATCGATATTCATAATAAA